TTATTATTCTGTATTTTTCTTTTGACTTCAGCTTATTGCGCGCTAAGTGTAAAAATGCCCTCTTATTTCCAATCCTGCGGTGGCAGCAGCTGATGTGAACTCGCTCGTAAACGGGGTTAGAATGAAATAAAACGAGATTCCTAAAATAGCATCCAACCTCCTACACAACACCCATATAACCCCCATTCATAGCACAAGTTACAGAACAGTTGACAGGAAAGTCCACATTGAATCCTGGACTGGGCCACTTGCTGCTCGATTAAATACATTTTTTTTGTTACAGGGAATAAATCCTCCCCCCACCCCGGCGCACACACACAGACACACACTTCTCCTCTGTGAGCTGAGAGAACAGTTAGGAGTGTCCTGGGTCACGGAGGGACCATACCGGTCGGGTGAAGGTTTAAATTGAGTTCCCCAATTGTGATCAATGATCTCCGGGTTATATAGACGGAGGCGTTTGATTACTGTGTAATAATAACGCGCTCGCGTTTGATCCGCTGTCAACTCAACTCTTTGGCTCCAAACGTCCAGGGGAGGCTATGATGTGTCAGCCTGGTTCACTCTCCCCTCTGTGTCAGCAGGATGTGGGTTCACAGGATTCCCAGGCCAGGCTAACATTGCAATGGGGTGCTGGGGGTGGGGGGTGTCACACTTGGGATGACACGTTAAGATCCTAAAGGCCCCTTCAGTTGTAACCAAATACCAAATACAAAGATTAGTATCCAATTCAACTGAACCATGTGTGTTGCTGTATTATTGTGTGATATTTATACAGAACCCTTGTAATTTTAATTAAGGATCGATTATTCATTCGTCTTATTCGTCTTCAGGTCACGCACTGACTATCACCAATCTGCACTTATCCAAATGGAGCTCTCAGTGATTTGCCATAACGAGAGTTGGATAAGAACCAAACTTCCATATAAAGGTGAGTGTGTGCGAGAGACAGAGAGGGGTGAGCGTGAGAGAGACAACGAGAAAGGATGACTGTGAGAGAGACAGAGAAAGATGAGAGAAAGAGACAGAGAGAAGTGAGGGAGGGAGTGTGTAGTTTCAATCCTGTTTAAATAGATTTAAATCTAAGAGTAAATATAATAATGTAAACAAATAAAATGGTAAATATACGCTACAGGGACGATGGGAGTCTCTGATGCCCTGGACATGGTACTGACGGTAAAGATAGGGTTAAAGTTACAGCCGGTATATAAACCACCTAAACACAAGCCCCCCCCTCCCCAGCCTGTGTGCAGCAGCATCTACCTCTCGCCCCCTCCCGCAAGACTCTGACATCTCTGGCAAAAGCAACTGCAACCGAGCCATGTCTGCACTGGACCGGGACCCACGGGCGGAGATCAGCCTCAGGCGCGTCGGTTTAGCGACCTATATACAGGCAATAAATGGGGTTATTACAGCTTTAAATTAACCCCATGGACACAGCGTGTGCCGGTGTCGGTGGCGGGGAGAGAGAGAGCGAGAGAGACAGCCACACACTGCTCACAGATACCTGGGCAGGGACTCTCCCCTGTGTGATATACACTGAACACCACTGTCTGTCCTGACACACCATCTCGGTAACCACCGAGGGAGTGGGGGCTATCTAATTATACTATCTAACTATCTAATGCTTTGTGATGTGTTTGTGATCGGAATATCCCCCCCCCCCCACACACACACAGATTACCCCCCCCCCACACACACACAGATTACCCCCCCCACACACACACAGATTACCCCCCACACAACACACACAGATTACCCCCCACACACACACACAGATTACCCCCCCACACACACACACACACACACACAGATTACCCCCCCACACACACACAGATTACCCCCCCCACACACCCAAGGATAACCCC